TTGCTCTTTTGGAAGAGGTCGTCTAAAGAGAAGAATATGTGGTTCTGTGGAAACAAAATATTTTACATAATTTTAATACAATATGGTTAACTTTCAGTCATTCAACCAAAATTCCAAATTCTCAATTAAACCAAAATAAATCTATGATCAGCTGTCATTTTATAGAAATATCTGAAATAAATTTTGCTTCAAAAGTCACTGTCCACTATAAACAGAAGAAAACCACCTGATGATGACATTCCCCACAGTGTGCCACTGTTTAATTTAGTTTCACCTACCCTGGAAAAAGATGCTAAGTAGAGAAGCCACTTCGGAGGGAATGGTTTCTACCTTTAGAATCTCAATTCCAGTGAAAAGGAAAGACACCTAACACCAAATTAAAAAACCACCAGCCCGTAAAAAGTGCAGATCCCAGGGGCCCATTCCCAAAGATTGTTTCATTAGGTGGGAGCCCAGGATTCTAGAGTTAAGTTCCTCCTGTGCTCTGGTATTACAGCTAATACTAATAATTAATAATAATAAAAGAAAGAGCTTTTGAACCCTGATACAATTAAATGCCCCCAATCCCAAGAAAGTTTTAAGTCACATTCTGATGCTATTGCTGCTTTTCTTTAACAAGAGCAGAAAACAAGCTCTAGTTCCACCTAATTCGGTTTCTACAGCATGCCCTCAAATTTTGCTCAAAGCATTGTAAATTGTTTAAGTTAGATCTGTTTACTGATAACGCAAAAGCAGAATTTAACCCCACAAGTTTTAGTTTACCATTTCGTATCTGGGAAGCTCTGGTAAAATCCACACAATAATATAACCATTCATAACAACACAACAAGGTTCACTCACTAGGTTACCTTATTTCACCTTAATGTGGTAGATCCCAATTATCTTTTAACAGAATATTAAAGGAAAAGACAAATCACTTCAAATTGCATTAACTTCTATGCTAAGAACTTAAGGACACTTAAGATGTCTTAAAATGAGTTCTCAGTTTTCAGAGACAGGACACCAGAATTATGCTTACAGCAAAATATTTATTAATAATGACACGTTTTAAAATAAAATGGAATTGATTTTAACTCCTTACCTTTCTGCAGGTAGAATAATGCATTACTTTCACTCATGTGGTATTATTTACTACAAAATTGGAATTCTTCCTAGGGAAGAAAGGAATCAGCCATCCAAGAGTAGTCAAACTTACCACGGTTACTTTGGGAATACCACTGACTGTCAATATTACTTAACAATTTTCAAAAACCACAACCACTACTTCTTTATTTCAGTTGATGCTTTCCTAAATGGAAACACCTACCTGGCTCATGAATCATGTAATGAACCCAGCCTAGACTCTGTTGGACACCAAGTCTCCTCCACTCCTCTTCAGACATCAGATGGGTTTTCGGGACTTGTTTGGAAAGTTCTCTGGGTAACATGACATGCCTGTTAAGAGATATAGCCAAGTATTAAATACACCTTTCCTACAATTATGATCACTTTATAAATGCATTTTTAGGATACTTAATATCCTGAGTTCAAAATAAAAATCTTTAAAGCAACTCTTGTTACATTACTGTTGACATCAATCTTGAGGGCTGTCTACTACCTTTAATTCTGATTTTTGATGGCCTAATGTTCAAAACGGGAAGAATATACAGTCCAAAAGCAGAAAGCACTTTGTTTAGGATTTGCCTTTTCTTCTCTAAGAGACTGCTTGCTGTTTCAATGTTCTTCAGAAATAGAATCCCCAAACCCAAGTCGGGCTCATGGTTATCCAAAACATCCCAGCCTCCCCTACAGCCATCTCTGGTGACTTAAATCCTGGCCAATAAGATATAAGCAAAGAATATGTAACTTATGGAAACTGTCTTCAAAAGGAAAGAACATGCCCAACTCTTTTCCTTGTTCTTCCCTGATGGGTTATGAAGCAGACTAATGTGGTCAGGGAGCCAGAGAAGCCATCTAAGACCACAGAAGCGTAAATTGAGGATGGTTCCTGATTGTAAAACTGACATCCCAGACCCTTGTAGACTTTTACATAATAGGAAAAAATAATTTGTTACAGTTAATTTGGTTTCCCATTACTCAACATTGTAGATCTGTAGATGAGTCCCTGTATACTCTACAAGTTGCTTTGTTTAAATAAAAAGCAAAAAACAAACCCAAATCCCACGTATATATGTGTACCTGGCAACCTAGCACAAAGACGTTCAGTTTTCCAGTAAGTTACTGACTTCTATCCATTAAATAACTATCTTCTATTCTTTGGATATGACGTATATCCCAAATTGTATTGTTTGTTTTTTTTTAAGAAGACATGCAATACTCTTCAATGTCAAAACATCAATAAGGTGTACAATTGTAGCTTTGTAAAAATTCTTAAAGACAAGTCTGCACCCCTCTTAACAGCAGTAAAAAGTTCTTTATAAATCACAATTCCCAGACCCATTTTTACCATTTCCAGTAGCAGTCTAAAGTTATACAGTCATCGACAACCACTATAAAACATCAATCTACCTGAAAGTCAGTTGGCTATGAATATGAGAAAGGTGCAGTCTCTGGTTAGTCACAGTTTCTGGCACAAAAGGAAACTGAACCCATAACCCATAATAAGCACTAAACAGTCATCAACTTAAACGCTAGAGTCTGTGGCTGGTGAATTAAATACCCATCACAAATTATTTACACAAAAAAAGTGAGCCTTAGAACAACTGTTGCTAGATCTGCCATAAGGCCACCCAATGAAATTATGCTTACTATTTTTACTAATTCCAGGGAACTACAGTTGACCCTTGAACAACATGGGGTTTGGGGCGCTGATACCCTGCGCAGATGAAAACCCACATATAACATCTGATTCCCCCAAAACTTACTGATAGCCAACTCTGACCCAAAGCCTTGCTGATGACATGAACAGCCAATGCTGCGCTACCATCTATCCACACTTAAGGCTCTGCAAAGAATCTTACTTCTGCCTTCTACATCAGTTCCGGATCAGCCTCAAAGAGAAGTGGAATGCCAGCTAGCTGTCTGTGTTCATACTGTGTACAACCATACAAACGTATCCACGTGTTACTCACAAGCCACAACCCCTCCCTTGCCCCTTAATCATGGAAGCGGGCTCACCTTCATCAAGGTTTGATTACAAAGGAGAAATTTTCGATAGCTCCAAACTCGCATAACTCTACCTCTACTTTACTGCGGGGAGATCGTTTCCTAACTGCAGGTAAGGAAAGTATTTCCCCAACCCAACGCTGGCTTCTCTGACGGGCTTGCTGGGGAGGGCGGGCGGCCGGGGCCGCGCCTGGGAGGGGAGGCCAGTTAAACCGGGAGCCACTCGGGTAGCGCCACCAGCTACCTTCCAGAGAGCAGAGGGTCTTGAAAAAGCTGGCCTACAGCTTCGATGAGCTTAAATCCACAGTGCTCTAGCACCTGGACCCGAGTACCGCTCAACACACCTAAGCCGTGACCTCGTCCACAAAAGCACCCACGCCGATCCGACGCCTGAGCGCACACGCCCCCTAAAGCTGCGGCAGCACCACGGACGCACGGCCCCGGAGCCCAGCTCAGGTCCAGCTCTCCCAAGCGGCGGCTGCGCCCCGCGCCCCCGGCCAGCCTCCCCACCTCCGGGGGGGCCGCGACGCGGGCCTGCGACTCCGGCTACTCCTGCGCCCTGCCCCGGGCGCGCACGCCTCCGCGGCGCCGAAGCGCCGCCACACAAAAGCCAAGCCGCCGGCGGCGGCGCCCTGACGCCCCCGCCCCCGCCCGGAGCCGCCGCCCGGAGCCCGGCCCCCGGGACGCGTCGGGAGGTGCCCGAGGCCCGGCCCCGCCCCGGGCGGCCGGTTTCCCCGCTCGGTCCCGCCGCAGGTGCTCGCAACGCCGAGGCCCAGAGCCGCCGCGCGGCCGCGCACCGAGGCCGGGGGAGCCCCTGCCGGACCGCGGAGAGCGAGGCGGGGCAACGGACCTCGCCGCCCCCCGCGCCGCTCGGCCGCCGCGAACAAAGGCCGGGGAATGGCGGGCCGCAGGCCGCGGCCCCGGGACCCGCGCCGCCACCCTGACCCCACCTCCGACCTCGGGCCCTGACCCCGACCCCGGCTCCGGTTCCGCGGCTAAGGCAGCCCCGCCGGCCGGCCCCGCTCACCGGTACTCGTAGTGCTCGTCGAAGTACTTGTCCGAGTAGTAGATCTGCTTGTGGGCCATCCTGCGGGCGGGCGGGAGCGACGGGGCGCAAGGAGCGGGCGCGGCGGGCCACACGTCCGGGCCTGGCCAGAGCAACGGCTCGACTGCGACCAACCGACCACAGGCCCAACGATCCCGGTTTGAATCCGACAGCCCGCCGCTGATTGGACGGAGGCGCCAGCCAATTGCCTCCCGCGTAAACTGCCGGTAGGCGGGACAGGCTCACAGCCTATCGTCACGACCCTCCTCGGCGTGTGCTCTCATGATCAGCCAATCAGAGACCTGTTGCGAGGCCGCCCGGGGGAAGAAGTGGATGATTGGCAAGACGCGGCGACGGGAAACTCCCTGACGGAAGGGGGCGTGGTCATGGGCGGGCGGAGCCCGGACGTTAAGGGCCTCAGAGCGCGTGCGCAGGGGTTTAGAACTTTCCAGGTCGGCCGGGCCGTTGGGGTGGGCGGGCCTGCGGGAGGGGTGAGGTATCGCGAGTTTTAGCGAGGTGCGGGCGGGGCTGCATGCCGTGCGACCACCCCCGCGCAGCCGCAAACTCGACGTTCCAGAAAGGGCGTCGAGCGCGCGGGAGGTGCGGTGTCCTGGGCGTGGGGACGGAGGGGGCCCGGCTTCCCGCCCGCCGCGGGCCTGGCGTCCGGGGCCCGGGAGGCTACGGCGCTCGCGGCGGGCGGGCGGGCGTGGAAAGGCCCTGGGCGGCGCGGTCGGGAGCCCACGTCGAGCAGACAGGTGGCCGGAGGGAGAAGCACACCGACCCGCGAGCCGCCTGCCATTCGATGACTGTCAGAAGCGCCCCGCGGTGTTTCCCCGCGCTCCGCAGCCGGCGCGTGCCACGTGCAGGAACCGGGTTCCTTTAGGACACGGGGAGGTCGCCGCTGCAACAGGCGCATCGGCGGGCGCCCGGTCCCCGCAGGGCTTCTGGTCCCGACCCGCGCCTACACGCCGCCGCCACCTGCCCGGCCCCGCACCTGCGGGCTCAGTACGGGCCCGGCCCCGCACCTGCCCGGCCCCGCACCTGCGGGCTCAGTACCGGCCCGGCCCCGCACCT